ACACAGGGGTGGCTGCAGGAGGGGGCCCACCACACCCTCCAGCTGTGACGCAGTAGCGTGACCACTGGGCCCTGGTGGAAGGGCAGTCATACCAAGGTGCTGCCATCACAGCCCCCCACAGGATGCTAGTGTCCCAGTCTGGGGAGCCCATGTGCTTCACGTGGGTCACAGCTGCCAGGCCTGTCCACTGCTGGCCCAAGCTGCTAGGTGTCCACCTAGGGGGCAGCTCCAGGGAGACCAACCTGGGCCCCCCAAGTGGCCAGGGAGCCCCCTGCCCTCATGTCTACCCTCCCCCTCAGGCCCTGCACCAGCACGGGAGGGCCAGATGGGGCCTGGAGAGCCAGCGCGCGTGGCAGCGAGTTTCACAGCACAGACCACAGGCTGAGCCGGGCGAAGGGGTGCAAGGGCAGTGTGAGCTCTGGTACGGCTTCCAGTATTTCCACCTTTAAGACTGCAGGCATCTTGAAAAAGAAGAGACCCAGCTAGCTGGACACTTGAAGATTAAAACCCATTTCAACAGAAACCGACGTGTGGCGCTGCCAAGGGCCCTGGGCCCAGTCGCCTCTAGTGGCAGCAGACTCCAGCAGCCCATCCCAAGAACTGAGTCAAGAGGGCCGCTGGGGACCCTGCTCCTGTGTTCAGAACCCCCATGCAGCAGGCGCTTAACCCAAGTCAACAGGCCCTAGTGCTGCAGTCCCTTCTCTTGCTTGGGTCAAATGAAGGAGGAATGGATGCGGGCAGAGTGCAAACACAACAGCCACCCCGCAGGGGTGGGCCAGACACAACGGGCACTACCAGTTCTGGTTGTCCCAGCCCTCGTCGACAGCGGTGGATGGAGCAGCCTTCTTGGGGGCCTTGACCCTGCCCTCCCCGCCGGCGGCCTCCCAGCTCTCCCAGCCATCGCTGTTGCTATTCTTGTTGTTGGACGCGGAGCCTGAGCCCCACACATCCCAGCTGTCCGAGCTTCTCCTCCCCGTCGAGGCATCTGCGCAGGTCCAGCTGTCGCTGCTCGGGGACTTGGCCTTGGAGGGCTCGGCATTCCCAAAGGTCTCCCAGAAGCTCTGGTCGATGGTATTGTTCTGGAAGTTATCCCTGCCGCTATTCTGGTAGCTCTGGCTCTCGAACGATCTTTTTAGAGAGAGAGACACTTACTAGATGTCACCAGCTACACACTCATGAGGGCACTGTCCCCAGGGTCCAGCATGCTCGGGTTGCAGGTGCATGGAGAACCACTCTTGGAACGCCACCCCAAAGGGTGGCCTCTGCCCCCTGCAGCCTCATGGCCCTTGAACCTAGACGGGTGGCACTTCCTAGCCACTCCTGGGGCCACAGCCACCGGGTGGGAGTGGGCTCTCTCATTCTGCAGAGGACCCAGGGCACCTTGGGGCTTGCTGCAGAGGACTCAGACCCCTGCCACCAGCGGCTGTCAGTCACGAAACAGCATCTGAGGAAAGGAGGCTGCAGCCTGAGCAGGGGGCCTTGGGGGCCTGGGGTAGGGAAGCTGACAGGCTGTGCCCCCGGCAGAGAGGCACTGAGCGGGACACCCATGCGAAGGCAGGCCAGTGGGCTAGGGAAGCTGGGCTAGAGACACAATGGCCTCTGGGGTCAGGGTGGGGGACACAGGGCCCTGGGGGGGAGGGGGGCACATATACCTGTCCGAGGGCTCTTCTGTTTTCCCAGAGAAGAAGGTGGTGACGTCCCGCCATCCCTTACTGCCAGCTCCCTGGACCTGGAGGGAGACAAGAGGCTGGGCAGGGCCAGCTCCCGCATGGCCTCTGCCTTCAACCCCAACACAATCACACAATCCTGCTGAGACCGGGGTGACACTCACCCCAGAGGAGGGAGGAGTGCGAGACACAGGCACACACACAGCACAGCTGCGGTGCTCGGCGATGCGTGTGGCACCCACTGCTGTGAAAGCGCTGCCCTTTCCCCAGTTCACCCTACAGAGCTCATTATCTGCTGCGGGGTGGGGACAGCCCTGCCTGAGGTTACAAGGCTGTATTTGTGGGCTCACACTGTCAGTGGACGCTGCTGGCCAGCAAAGGCTTTGTCTTTACAACAGTGGGCAGAAGGTGCCAACACTGTCCCCACCCAGGATGCCACCTGCAGGCAACATCACAGACACCACACACACCTCAGCAGGCTCCCTGCAGAGACCGGCACCAGCACTTACCTCGGGGAGGCCCACAGGCAGCGAGAGAGAAAGGAAAGCAGGGGCGACAGGTGAGCGAGCAGCCGACAAGTCTGCAGTCGAGCCGTTTCCATATTCCTTGAGCCCTCAGACAACCAGAGGACAGCAGCCACCGAGTCGGCAGACTGGGGCCCACATGAGACCCAGCCCCTGGCCACCTCTGGCCAGCACCCACCACAGGGCTGGGATATGGAGACCGGCTCTGGCTGCAGCCGCACAGTGGCGGGGTCTGCCCTACCTTGGACGCCAAGTGAGAGACCCCACTGGACACCCTCAAAAATCCTTCCCTCCTTCCCCTGCGCAGAGTGAAAGGGTACTGTCGGGATGAAAGCTTCAGAGGAGCACAGGGGACTCAGGCGTGAGGTGCCCCGAAACACCTGCAAGAGGCTCCTTGCGCAGAGTCCCAAAGGGCATCCACAGCAGGCCTGGCTTAGTAGCACGTGACTATAATCCCAGCACTCTGGGAGGTGGAGGGAGAAGGATATTAATTTGGAGTGCAGATTGGGCAACTTAGTAATTTAACTAGACCCTGTCTCAAAATATAAAATAAAAAGGTCTGGGGATGGAGCTCAGTGTGAAGGCCCTGGGTTCGATGCCCAGGGCCACAAACAGTAACAACCTGCAACCCCAGCACGGGCTTCGACACCGAGACCCTACTCAATGCCAGCCTGTCCTTCCTTCCTCAAAGTGTCTCCTGCCTGCACAGGGCTCCTGGGTGGGGCCAGCAATGTCCTTTGTGCAGGGGACAGCCACAGGCTGACGGTGAGCCAGGAGATGGCAGGAGGGAGCCTGGCAGGGGAGCAGGGGGAGCCGGCCTTGCTCGCTGGGGGGTGCAGAGTGGCTCAAGGCCCTGGCCCACATCTGCTCCCGCAGAAACCAGGGCCCAGCGTCACAGTGTCTCTCAGTCACTGATGCTGCCCATACCTTCTCCTGCGCAGGCTTGAGGACGTTCTCGCTCAGGCTGTGGCCCAACTCTGCAGCCTGTTGGGAGGGGTGCTGTGTGAGGCCAGGGCAGCAATGCGCCAGGGCATGCGGCTGCACAAGCTTCACCGTTACAGGGAGGCAGTGGGACATGGGTGCACAGGGCAACAGGTCATGGGTCACAGAACAGCAACAGATGACAGCAGGAAGAGGGGCCTCGCAAAGCAGGGGCCGGTGGCATGGAGAGCAGCCTCCCCCTGGCTTGGCCACCAAGCCATCCGGCCTCAGTCACAGAACAAGGGCAGCAGGCAGGATCAACAGTGACCCCCACTGGCTGCAGGAGCCTCTCTTGTATCCCTGAACAGGCAGACTCCCACCAGGAGGGAAGTGCCCCAAATGCCAGGGCAGAGAGGACACGGAGGGGCTGGGGAGACAGCCACAAGGCCACAAGGGACCCGGAATGCGTATGTCCTCAAGGACAGGCAAAGCACAGAGGAAGACTTTAGGGGGACGAATTCCACCACACAAGATGGACAACGCCCAGCACGGTGAAATTCTGGGCTGTCTGAATAACTAAACCAAGCAGCCCACTGCCCAGGGCCCGCTCTGGCCACTGCCCCATCGGCAGGCCCTGGCCTCTGGGTCTCAGGAGAAGCTGCAGGCGGAGATGGTGTGGACGCAGCTTGCAGATGGCAGGTGCGTGGGCAGGCGGGCGGGCAGCATGCACCAGCGGATGCGGGGCGTTACCGGCTCTGGCTGCTGCTTGTAACCCCAAAACTTGACCCGGACAGCACAGACGTGGGTTAGCAGGGAGAGAGCAAGGTATAGGAGCAGCGTTTAGCAACCAGGAAACATCCATGAACGCACCTCTTGGTGCAACTTGTGCTAACGGCTTGGCAAGTGGGCGTCACCAGGCCTCGGGCCAACCTGCTCCAAACTTACCCACTGCACATTGGTGAGAGTGACTCAGACTGACAGAGGCTCTGAGACAAGCCAGGGAAGTGTCCCCAGGGTGGGCGGCTAGGGGTGTGCAGGGCCAGAAGGGCCCTCAGAGGCAGGAGAGCCCAGGGGACAGACAGCAAGTGCTGCCTTGCGGGGGGAAGAGGTCGCGTGTGAGCTGCCCTTGTTTGGGGCAGGAGCGCAAGCCCTAAAAAGCTACCCACAGCACGGCAGAGCCCTGGCCCATCTCGCATTCCCCTGGCAATGATGGGGCACACCAGGTTTTGAGGAAAAAGGAACATGAAGACCACAGACTGCTCTCACATCCAGAAGATTGTGCCACCTGGGAGAACAGCTGAGGTCAACTCCTGCGGCTGGCAGCCACAGACCGGGGCAGCCTCCCTCTACACTGGCTTCCTGGAAACAGAAAGGCCCTACCCAGGGCCAGCCTCCTCCAGGGAGGACAATGGGTGGTCACAGACACATGAACGAGAGCAAGGGCCTGTGCACTGGGACCCTCAGGTCCCCGCAAGCAGCCTGGGAAGCATCTGACGCTGCATGTGACATCACAAACTCATGAGGGTTTATTTTTCTTTTTGGTACCAGGAATCAAATTCAGGACTTTGTGCTTGCCAGGCAGGCATGGTGCCCCTGTAGTTTCAGGACACACCGGGAAACAGCTCCTACTGCTGAGTGTGCCACTGCACATCTATAGCCCAGCATTCTGGGAGGCTGGGGCAGCAGGACCGCAAGTGCAACCCCACTGGGCAAACTAAGACACTGCCTCAAATTAAAACAGAAAAGCCACTGTTCACACTGGGGACATGGCTCAGTGTGAAGGCCCTATGCACAATCCCTGGAACCAGGGAGGGGGAAAAGCTTCTCTTTTTTACCTTTTGACTTGCTTGGGATCCAAACTTTGTAGCCTAAAAGGAAAAACAGAGCACTTTAATCAATAATCTTAATGGTGACCCCCAAAGCCCCACTTGCATACGACCGGGACAGGTTCAGCCCCAGCACCCTCTCCAAAGGCCACACACACTGCCAGCGCTGACCTGGTGACAGCTCCAAGGTGCCTGGAGCTCTGGCTGGGCCTGGTTTAGCACAAACACCTGCTCCAGGCACTGCTGGGGCCGGGGAATCACAAAGCCGGCTCCATCCTCACACTAGTGGCCAGGCCCGGCAGCTGCCTCTGCACTGTCCTCAGTGGGCCTTCCCAGCAGCCTAGCCCTGCTCTGGCCCACGCGGTGGCAGCTCGGTGCCCAGCACACTGAGGCCTGTGTCTGCCCACACTCCATTTGCTACAAGGAGACAGCAAGGCCTGTGACACGTACCTGGGGACACCGGGACCTAGAACAGAGGTTCTAGCAGGGCCACTGCAGCACAGGGAAACCAAGAGCTGCCCAGTGGCCTGCAGCGGGCTACAACTCACTGCCCGCCCCTGCACTAGGGTCTCACGGCCCAGCGCACACGCCCTCCTCCAGGGCCCCTCTGTGGGTGCTATGTGGGGTAGCCTGCCTCCTGCTCTCTGCTGCTTGTCAGGCCACTGCTGGCACACACTCTTCACATACACTATCATCTATGCCCACCAGCCCCATGTCCTCCTTTTCTTCAAGCAAAGCAAACCCCGCCCACTCCATCAGGACACTGAAGATCCAGAGGCACTCTCAACCGACCCCACAGGTGAGGGCAGAGGGGTGGGATCCATCGGGGAAAGGACAGGTCAACCTCTGCAGGGAGGTAACCCTAGAGACATCTGTAAGCACAGCAAGAACCCCTGGGTTGCTCTGTGCTTTCCAAGGCCTTGGGAAGGACCCATCGGTACCTGTCTCCAGCGGCCCCAGCCGGCACGCACTGGGAGGTACTTACGCCTTCCTTAGCTGCAGAGGCAAACTTGCTCGCTCCGGTGGTGAAGCTGCTCCAGCCCTGAGGAGGCAACAGAGGCAGAAGCAGGTCTGGCTGTGCCCAGATGCCACAGGCATGGTGCTCTGCCCACCTTGGCCGCCAGAGAGCATGCCAAGGGGGCACCGCGAACACCACTGCAGTTCCTGCTGCTAGGGAGGCTGCCGCCCCACCACCTCCGCCTCACTGGCCCAGGGCTCAGCATGTGCAGGGCTGCCTGTCACATGGACACCGGCAGCGTCGCAGGGCAGCCTGCCAAGTCCCAGACCTCTTCTCTCCTCTGCCTCCCTGCCACCTCCGAGGAGCAGACAGTGGGGTGAGTAGGATCACGCCTCCACGGCAGCCCGAGGCTTGCTGCTAAGCCTTGCGAAGGCAATTCCACTCGCTCACGTGTTTACTGAGTCAGGAGAACTAAGGGTTGGGCCCAGGAGTGTTTTCCACTCAGCCATGTCCCCAGTAGCCTCCAATCCCTTTCCATGTTTTGGGGTCTTTTTGAGATAGTCTTACTATGTAGTTTAGGCTGGCCTTAAACTCACAGCAATCTCCCTGTGCTGGAATTACAGGTTTGTGCCACCACACCTGGCTTATAACTTAAAAAACAAAAATATTAACCCTTTTTTCAAAAAGATAGGGTCTTAGCCGGGGAGACGGCTCAGTGGGTTAAGTACCTGTCTGATTTTGATCCCTGGTACAAAAAAAAAAAAAAAAAAAGATACAGTCCTCCCAAGTTTGGGTGGCCTCAAACTTGCAATTGTCTTGCCTCAGCCTCCCATGTGGCTGGGATCATAGCGTATGACACAGTTCATGGCAAAAAACAAAAAATGAAAGAAAAAAACAGTATTAAAAATTGGTTTCAGGCTGGCAAGTTCGCTCAGTGCAACTGCTTAGGCAGTTGAAGGGACCAGAATTCGATCCCCCGCACAGGCTGCACCAGGGGCCCCTGGCCCTGTCCCCAGGTGCAATGAGACGGCCACGAAGAGCAGGCATGGTAACACACACCTGTATTCCCAGCGCAGTGGAGGCTAAAAACAGGAGGATCACAACAAGTCCAAGCTGCGTGGTGAGACCCCATACAACATACCAAAAAAAAAGGGTTCTCTTACATAAGAAACACAATATAATTAAAGATCAAAACAAAGATGATGGGAGTGGGGAGGTCTTTTTGAACTGGGAAGGCAAACGACTGACCAGGGGAGGTAAGAGAGGAAAAGGAGGTGGGAAGAACACAAAGGAACTGAACACAAAATGGAAACAACTTTTCTGCAGATGAGAAGGGAGCCAAGAGCCGGAAGTGATGGGGGGCGCCCAGGAGCAGGAGGGCATGAAAAGCAGGGATGTGTCATGCCCACATGCCATTCCCCACCATGGGGGTGGCCATTCTTTTTTGTGTGTGTGTGGAACCGGGGATTGAACTCAGGCCCTCATGTTTGCCAGGAAAGTGTTTATTCCACTGAGCCATCTTCCTGGCCTTGAGACTGGCCATTCTGTACTACAAACATGCTAATAAAATGTTTTTAAAGACATGTGAATTTCAACAAAAGGAAATTTTGGTGTCTTGCGGGTTAGCTCAGTAGTTTAAGGGCCTGCTTGGACAAACTCAGTCAGGCGCAGGGAACCATGGTTCAATCCCCAGTTCCACATGCCTTACCAGACCTGCCCTTGAGACTGCCTGAGGGGCCAGGGAGATAGCTCAGTGGAATAAGTGCTTGCCTGGCAAGCGCAAGGTCCTGAGTTCGATCTCTGGTGCTGCAAAAAGGAAAAAAAAAAAAAAAGACTGTCTGAGCCAGCCCAAAAAAACCTAAAAGGAAATTTTGACACACATACACATATACATACATACATATATATGTATATACATATATATGTATAATTTTTTTTTTTTTTTTTGTACCAGGAATTGAACTCAGAACCTTGCACTTGCCAGGCAGGCACTTGGGCCACAGAGCTATACCTTCAGCTTTGACATAAAAGTTTTTTTAAAATCATGTAAGAGAAAAAGAATGGTTTGCAAAATGTACTTCTATAACCAACAGCTGGCCTGGATGTCAGGTCCAGAACACCTGACCTCGAATATCCAGGTCCCTAGACAAGGAGTGGCCCTGGATAGGCAGACACCATGAAGCTGCATGCCGTCACCAAGAGGATACCGGGCCTGTCCCACATCCTAGCCCATGTATGCACCAGAGCCTCACCTCCGGGGTTCACTCAAGGGACACGGGCACCCAGGGAGGCTGGGCCCGTAGCAGGCAGTGCCACTAGGCTGCTGGGTTCCACAAACCTTCAGCTCTTTGAAGGAATGCGCCTAAATTCAAAATGTGTACTTTGTAATACACTTGGGATCTAAATAATTTAAAACATTTTTAGAAGGAAATTCCACCTTCTAAAAAGGAGGACAGGGAAAGGCGCCTCCAACCACCCTTTGGAGCAGGCCACAGGGGGCTGTCCACACTGGCTAGGCCCAGGCCAATCTGCTGGAGGGGGCGCCCTACAGGGCCTGGAGTCCTACCGAGTACAGGGATGACATGGCGTTGTTAAGGAAGTCATCTTCTCTCTTCTGAGGTGGCACCGTGTTCCCAAACCCCACATAGCGGTTCTCCTGGGCCCTGAGAGGGAAGGACATGCAGGCAGAAGCCACCGCCTGAATCTCACCATTCCTACGCAGCTCAGGCACTGCTTCCCCCGCCCAGGAGGTGCTGCTCCCAGACCTTACACAGGAACCATGAGGATGTGGAGCATGTATGCTACCAAGTCCTGCCTGTCATGCTGCCTAAGGGCCCCCAGAAAGCCCCAAAACCTCATAACCAGATTTCTGGAAGCATCAAAATGAGCTAATCAGATGGCTCTAGGGATCAAAATTCATTCATGGGTTAGGGAGACACATAAAGAAAACACTTCATTTTTTTCTTTAAGTGTTACGTTTTCTCTACACGCAAGACTCCCAATTCAAACCTAGCTGGCCAGGGTGGGCTGCGTGGGCCCTGCGCAGGTACGAGCATGTGCGTGTGCGCGCGCTGACCCTGCACAGCCCCCAGAAGGCCGCAGGCCTGTCCTCGCCGGCTAAGCCTCCCCCAGATGCCTGCGGCGTTGCCTGCTCCCTAGGCCTTACCCTTGGTAGGAGCTAAGGTCATCATTCAGCCAGTCTTCGAAAGCCTTGTCAGCAGAGGTGGTCACATTCTGTGGCTGGCCAGAGGGCCTAAAATAGAGTCACAGGTCAGCACAGCCAGCACCAGGAGGGGTCAGGCTACAACTCAGTAGGTGGCTGGCGACACCAACTGGAATCAGGTGTCTGAGGGAGAAGGCCCTTCCCATTAACCTGGAAGGCACCGGGGCCAGGCTGGGCTCCAGCTCTGCCCCACAGGACCCTTGGGCTCCACTACTGAAGCCACAGGAAGGCCCGCCACAACGGTCTGACTAGCAGCAGGCAATGTCACAGGCTAGCCGCGACAGTGGGGAGGGCTCGAGTCAGCAGACAAGCTGAAGCCGCAGCAATGTGAGGGCCTCCTGGTGGTCCGGCAGGGAGGCAACATCACGCTGGATCCCAGGGTGCACAGAGAGCTCCAGTGGCCCCGCTCCCTCCTCCCACCTCCACACAAGCCAGTCCCTCCAGAGGGACCTGCGATGCAGCCATTGTGGGGGCCGAAGGGCGCTGGGCAACGATCCATGTCCCCAGCCTGCTACCATTCCTATGGTCATGCGACACACTGGGAAGGAGATGTGCCAAGCCTGCCCAAGTAGGGAGAAATTCACCAGGTGACTTGCTCTAAAACCGCGCACTATTTCAAGTTTTTAAAGCTGGCTTCAGGAACAGCTCAGTTGGAGTCATTTCCATCACAGGAGGGGAGAGAGCTCCCGCAGGGTCCTAAGCTACAGCTCAAACCAGGGGCTAGTGGGAACAGCGCTGGGCCTGGCCAGCAGGAGTGACTACCGGTGGGCTGTGGACGCCAGAATCTTGGGCTGAGGTGGGGTCCAGCTCTGGGCAGGCGATGACTCCAGAGACCATTCTCGGCCTTCAGCCACAGCGGCCACCTGACAAGAGGACAGGAGACCATCAGGGCGCACACTGTCCCCTGGCGGCACTCAAGCTCACATGCAGGGCCCTGCAGGCAGCTCCCCGGGCCTCATGCTGCTGTGATGAGTGACAGTGTGGGCAAGCTCGGAATCAGTGCAGCTCAAACTGCAAGTGCACGGCGCTGCACTTATCCGGCCCCAAACAACAGGCCCGCCAACCTGAAGGGGCCCTGCGGCCACAGTGAATGAGAGCCCTTCTAAGCAGTTTCTCTCTTCCAGGAATCACGGGGCACCTGGTCCCTCTTTGGGCAGGAAGAAGAGCTTGCTCTGGGTGAGGCAAGGGTCACACGTCTTTGTTTATACCTGAACTACGCAGTCTCAACTGATGAAAGAAACTTCACTCTCAGTGCCACCGAAGCTGTGTTCCAGCCGCTGTGGACATGTGGCCCAGCCTGAAAACCAGCCCGAGCAAGTGGGTCTGTGTTACCTTGTCCCTAAAGAGTGCTGCGGCTTTGCTGCTGTACTTGTCCTGCAGGGACCAGCACGGGTCATAATCCTCCTGCGACTCCAAGAACTCGCGGAACTTGGCATTCCCACCTGCCTTCATCTTCTCGAGCTCGACGTCCTTCCACTTGTCCATTGTAACAGAGCGCACGAAGCTAGGAACCAGAGGCACGTCCGTTAGTGAGCGCCAGGCACATCGAGGAGCCCCCCTCCCCAGGCAGCACTGTGAACCAGACACAGTGCTTCCTGCAGTGAGATGGAAGCCGGAAGAGGCTGCTACCAGGAGCTGGGCAGCCGGCAGCTCAAAGGGCGGCCACAGCCGCTATGGAGGGGGAACTGCCCAAAGGGTGGGGAGAAGCCCTGGCCAGACAGCACTTTGGCGATGGGCGCCCACTGGGCTTAGACGGAGGCTCCATGGGCCAAGCAGCAGACACTGACCTGAGATGCACCCCAAGCCCACGGTGTTTCCCAGAGCACTCCAGACAGATCCAGATGCCATAGGTCACGCTGACCCACTGAGGGTTGAACGCACCACACTCAAAACAAACCTGCAAAGGGACCACAAACGACTCACCAGGGGATGGGGCAGAGCCAGATCCCAAAGGCCCGAGAGTGTCCCCAGAAGGGTGTAGAGGAAGGGTGAGAGGCACACGCAAGGCCTGAGGGAGAGAGCTAGCACCATAAGCAGAGCTGGGCTGCCCGGGCAGCCAAGGGAAGAGGGTCTGAGTGAAGCCTGGAAACCGGCATGAAGAGGAACAGCCCTTGCTGTAAAACCTTCCCAAGAAAGTGAAGCAGACCCTAGGTGCAGCCTGAGCACCGAGGCAGGGCCGAGTGAGATGCTGCCCCTGCAGGGGCTCTGCCTCCTGTGCCTGCACAGCAAGCTCCCAGGGCACTCTAAGGAGCCGCACACAGCCATGCAGTAGGCAGCCGGGGTCACGGGACTGCGCACACACCCTGAGGTGTACACTCACGTTGTTCTCATCTTGTACTCGGACTTCTTTGAGAACTTTCCTGGTCCTTGGGCTGGCCATAATGCTGCAGAGGATGAAACAAACCCTTAGGTGTACAAGCACACTGTTTTATAGGTAAACAGACAGCTCAAAACCACTGCAAGGCCTCTGGGGGAGCCGCTGGAGGGCACGGTAGGGCACAGTGTGATACTGCTATAACCAGCGCCTCGGCCCACTCACTGTGTGCCTCTTCCCCACTGGGGGCAGTGCCCCCAGGCCACACCAGGGCAGTGCTCAGGGAAGCCAAGACATGACTGGTGGCATCCACGCCTCACAGTACAGAGGACCACTGAGACTCCATGGGTCACAAAAAGTCTGTCTCACAGCAAGTTCTTTACAAAACGTACACAAACTGGCTGCTAAACATGACTCTGTATGAAAGGGAAATATGACAGAGGGTGGGCCCCCAGTCAGCCAGGCGGGGCAAAGAGGCATTCCTAACTGATGGTGTGAAGAGGCCAGCCTGCTGGAGCATCTGCAGGTAGGTCCTTGCTGAGATCATCCTGAGGGACAGAGGTGACAGACGCTGAGGCCACTGCAGGGCAGGGATGATGGCCCACTGACCACTAGACTCACAGGGATGCTGGTGGGGGCATCAGCAACAAGGCTCAAGCTGAAGAGAAAGCTATTTCTTTACAGAACTAGAAGCTGTAACAAAGCTCAGCTTCACCTGGGACCAATTTAACACAACCAGGAAGAGGACAGCAGCAGCATCAGACAGGAGTTCTACGAGGGCTGGCAGCGCCAGGCCTAGGCTGCAGGTAGGGCCTGGGCGCCAGGGCACTGCTGTCCTGCTGACCCTGCTGTGGGGTCACCTCTCCAGGGCGCATCTCTCTCTTGGGTGGACCTGTGTGCTGCTCTGTCGGAGTCACAGCGCACGCACAGCACTCCGCACAGGACGGAAGTCGCACACAGCTGCCCTGTGTGCTCTCCTTGCCACTCTGCTGCTGCACTGAAGACAAATGCCCACACTGGCTTCCCCACGCACTTAGGTGGAGCTTACTGTGACGTGCAATTGAAAAGAAAAATCAGATGCCCAGCACAAAAAGAAAAATCAGCAGACCCTGTGTCCTGTGTTATCAGTATCACCCTCATCACAGTACTGAGGATTAAGGTGCTCAGGCTACCCTTGAATTTGTGATCCTCCTGCCTCTGTCTCCCAGAGTGCCAGGATGACAGCCACGCACCACCATGCCCAGCCATTTTATTTTATCGTATTGTATTTTAGTATAGGGTCTCACTACATAGATTGGACTTGCGGCGATCCATCTGTGTTCAGCCTCTCCCAAAGAGCTGAGATTATAGACACATGCCTCCATGCCCAGTCTCAACTGCTGTCTCAGGGCGCCCCAGGATCGAACCCTGGGCGCTGCATCATGCCCAGCCATTTTCAATCTCAAGTCTACAAAACCAAAGCATTCACTGAGGTGAATGTCAATTCTCCACACCCCAAACCTTCTGCATCTGTACGTCCCTACGTCTTAACATTCACTAGGGTCCATTATTAAGGTATTTAAGATTAGTAAACATTTGCTTTCTGTGCTTGTGTGAAACACAAGCTGAAGCTCACCCTAGGCTCCTTTCTGCTCCACGATTCTTTGTGCTGGGACTGGGCCCTGAAGCCACAGGTCGAGGCGGACGCCTGAGCTTATTCCTGCCCACAGCAGTCGGACCTGGACTGACTCATTCAGTCGGGACACTGTCATCACACTAAGCACCTACCTACACATAGCGCCTCGGCTGAAAACAGGAGAAACACGCCGACACCACAAGACGTTTGAGTCTCACAAAGCCCACGGAACACATTCTCTTTAGAGCAGCCACCATAGGGCCTCTGATGGGGCACAGCAGACAGAGACCGGGGCAGCTCTCACTCTGCCCATCCGTGGCACTGCGCTTGCCCTCAGGTGTCCACAACTCGGTCAACATAACAGGCGCAAAGTCAGTCAAGAACTGGTTGATCGACTCTGAATTTCTAAGTGCATGAAATACTCACTGAATTACTGGAAAGAGAAAAGCACTGAAGGAAAAGCCTCGGCTCACCTCTCCTGCGTGACTAACCCTAAGGGCCCCGAGTTAGCTGAAATGTTAAGTTTCATAACACGAAAACAAACACCTCCTATGCTCAAGGGCATAAGTACTGTTCACTAAGCCACTTGTCAAGACCAAAAAAGCACTTGCTTTTTTTTTTTTTTTTTTAATGTTTTGGTAAAGTCTCACCATGCAGCTTCTCCTGTTTTCAGCCTCCTCTGAGCTGGGATTACAGCTGTGTGCCACCACCCTGGGTCTTGGAGGTTGGCCCAGGTGCTCGGGGACGAGAAGGGCAGGGCATGTGGTGCCGGGGATCGAACCCAGATCCCCGCACTTGCCTAAGCAGGCGCTTGGTCCGCTGGACCATCTCGCCAACCCTAGCATTTGCTTTTTAAGCTCGGGCATGCTCAACCTCTGATATCTAGCGACATTTCAGGGCATTTGCTTAGCCTAGGGCTACAACAAGGAACAGAGAAATACTGTCTTTCTCAAGAACTGCCGGAGGTGCTCAAAGAACCCATGTCTAAGAATATGTTCATGCTCTTAAAGAACAGATTATCTTTTACTTCGAAAGGGTTATGGCCCCAGAAACGGATGCCTAACAAACCTCAGAGATACCTTACGCCCTGGATGAACGGGGAGGACCCCACTGGGCGGCTATCATTAACCACACGTGGCTGGCATCAAAGTCCAAGATAAATACACGGAATTATTTCTCAGCTTGGACAGGTAAACTGAAAAAAGTGTTAAAAGCATCGTCTTTGTATCTTCCCTTCCCTCCCCAAAACAATCGCCCACGCCAAAGGGCGAAAAGGAAAACGAGGAAGCAGGCCGGCCTCGCGAGGCTGGCGGCGCTTTCCTCCGCAGGGGCGCAAGCCGCGGGGATCCCGGGGGTCGCGGGGCGGGGCGGCCGCGTCTGGCCAGCCAGCGCTGGGGAAGGGCGCGCTGGCGGGACCAACTAGCGGGCGACGCCCGACCCG